CTCAACCTATATAGTCTGTCCTTAAACACTTTTTTTGGGCAGAACCGATTCATCCTTTTGAGGGTGAATCAGACAATGGATTATTAGGCTTAGAGGAAAACCATATGAGCTGACTCGGTAAAGAAGCTCTGAGCGGACTCGGACTCGGTACAAGTGATCTGAGCATAACTTAGAATCGCCGTATTTTGAGTTATGCACAAAAAAAAGTTTAGGTGTGATAATTATGAATGCATAAAGATTAATCTATAAAAAAGCCCAAGTCTGGTTATTCGTGAAAGCGTAGAAGTAAGAAAGAAAAATAGAGGCCTCCACTTGGTTCAGTGTCGGCCCATTAAATGCAGACGGCTTAATAGCTAAACAAACCAACAACCTTAGCTTATTGACCAAACTTGTAGGAGGAGGACTAGGAGCTGCTATATAACAAAGATCAAATCTGTTTTTGTTACAAGAAGATTAATAAATGAGTCAGGAAAAGTGCAGGGAGTAACTTAGAGACAGAGCAAGATCATCATTATTGGCACTTTGTTCTTTTAATTAAAGCCTAATGACAGTTGTTATTATTATTAGTCTCTGGTTGGCGCCGTTAAATAATAGACCCATAGCATTAGGGAGGAGGAGTTGGAAAAAAGCATTAGTACTAGATTTATTTACTGCAGATCAGTCTTTACCGGTAAAAAGAAATCCACTAGACATTTACCACCAAGTAAAATAGTAAAACGATTAGGTAAAAAGATGTTCCATCAATGGTAAAAAGAGAAAAACAGATTGTCACGTGGCAAAGAAAAAAAAACAAAATAATATGCAACAAGGAAAAACCAGAGATATGTAGAGATAGTGGTAACTGGGACTTGGGGAGAGATTCCAGCAAGATCCACACTCCTTCATTCACCTAACAAACCTGTGAAAGAAGCCACAAAATTGCATAAATATTCATTATAAGGTAATTAGCTTTTGTACATCAAAATCTATAAGTGGAGAGGTACACAATGCCTTAGAGAATCCATGTCCTGTACAAAATCCATGTGTAATGATGTTTCAGAGAACGTCGAATAATGATTATATGAGGTCTACTATAATAATGAATAGGGAGAGACCAAAATTGGGGTAAAATTACTTACTTAATAGCAGCAGTAATAAAAAGCATACCAAGTACAGAAAAAGGACATGGTTTGTAATAACTATATCTCAATACCTTTATGAAACATTAAGCTTTTAAAAAGTAAAAAGATCCAAGTACTGTTTTAAGTTCCAAATTTCCAGTTACCACAAGGCTAGAATAACCAGAGGCATATCGCACACAGACTGAATAGTTTTCACAAGTATCATCGGTCTATCTCACAAAGTCATAAACGTTCCTCCTACTATTTTCATGAGAAATTAGATTGTGCATACTGGTGAAAGCTTTTAGCAACTGATGATTCAATAGATTAATCTACTTGTGATTGATCAATCAGTATACCTTTGCGGCTATAAACCTGCGTGGCTGTTGGAATCTTTAGGCACCTGGACTCTTTCAATGGCTTTGATGACCGTGATTCAAGGACAACTGTGTCTCATTCGGAACTTCATTGTCACTGGATGATTTGCTTCCATCCTCTTCGTACAAGCCAGACTCGGCAAGACCGCTCTCAGAAAGCTCCTGCACGTTAATGATCTTGCCAAACAACTGAAACGAGTTAGCTCTTGCTGGAGTTGGGCCTCGGTTTCCAGAGGAATGATTAGTGCTGTTGCTATTAGGCGACAAGTCATCTGCAGATGGCGGACTGCCAAAGTTCTTCTCAGTCGTCGAGACTTTTCCCAACCCTGGAAGCGGACTGAAGAAGTTATTGGTGTATAACTGGGGAGGATTCTCTCCAATGAAACCGGTTGGATTGTAAGACCCAAATTCATAATGCCTGGCTCCCTGCATGCCAGCAGGAAATGTAGTATACGAGAACAGATAGGGACTTGGATCCCCAGCTGGTGCTGCAACACTAGACAGTCCTCTTTGAGGATAGAAGAGTTCTCCTTCTTCTCCGCTAAAAAACCCTCCGCTATGTGGAAACTTCAACCTCTTTGTCGGAGGGTAAGTGGCATGAAGTTGACTTGGATTTGCAACAACTTCCACTTGCCAAGGATTCACCCTCTTCACGTTCTGCAGAATCTCAGGTTCATCCCAAGTGATCTACACAGTTACAGAGCAAAAAAAAAAAAGATCAGAGGAAGCAGAATGTACTGATGAAAAACGAGTATCATTAAACTTAACTCACTGGCAAGAGCTAGTTTAACAAACGCAATGTACAAACGCCTGGCCAAAAAAGGATAAGGAAAAACAACTCTGCATCATGCCACACACAAACATAAGCTTCCTATTTCTTTTCAAGGTAATCTATGTGGAAGATGAAACCCAAATTCTCCAAACCCCAATTGGCAATTGAATAACCAGAATGAGACTTTAACTGCTCCAGATAAGGCTTTGCACACCAATTGTTCTCTAGAGATATATGATTGATTCTACATTTTTCCCAACAGCTCAAGATCAGAATTATATCAAGGACACAGAGACCATGTAAAACCATTGTATACCTGAAGTTGTTTCCATGGAGATCCACGCCATGGACCTGTTTCCTGAAATGTAGAAGATACAATGCCCTGAAACCAAGTTATCCTCGAAGAATCTTCAGTCTCCATCGCCATCTTCACTCTAGTACCAGGATTCCAGTATATGGACATCGAAGCTTCAACATCTTCAGCTCTCACCACGAAATCCGACCATCCAGCAGTAGGATAATACACTACCTCGAATGGCTGACCTTGTGCTGCTCTCTTGATCGCCTCTGACACAGCTTCCGCCGTCAATTTCCCTTTCCCAGTCCTCCTAAACCCCTTCTTCGCACTTCCGTCGTCTTCCTTAGCAACGCCTCCACTGCTCTGATAATAACTACAGTACTCATCTCCGCCGTAGAAGCTTGTTCCTCCGACGTTACTAGAGATTGGTGCTCGCCTTACACCAATAAACATCTCATCAGCCGATTTCCTCATAAATACAACAGAATCACCAGCGATTAGCTTCTTATTGTTCACGAACTTGCTCCATCCGGTGGTTAATAGATGTCTCCTCGGTGTACCACGGTAGATATGCCGGAAATCCCAAACAACGCCATGGATATCGGTGATAAAGAGCTTTTGCACCGGAGGATCCGCCTGAAAATCAAGCGGAGGAAAAACCGAATCGGCACAATAACGCGGTACAGAGAATCCACCTCCATTGTTAGCATCAGAAGGAGTTAAAATCTTCGCAAACGTAACAACCTTATTCTCATCTTCATCACACTCATACCTCCCGAATCTAGAGAGATTGTTGCTATTATTCATCGGGATAAACTGATCAGGAGCCATAGGTTGAAGAACAAGGTGAGCGAAAACCTCGTCAGTGATCGGATCGGCGAGTAACTCGATGGAAGAGACGAGGCAAGGAACTGGTGAGGTAGTGGAAGGGAAAGAAGAGATGAGAGAGGAAGCGCAACAGTGCTCAACATGTCCTTGAGGGAAGTAATAAACCCTAGAGTATAGTGAAGGGATCTGAACGGAGGCACCAGCACAAGCACGCCAGATCCTAGCGTCGACTTCACGGTGGATGTCGACGGTTGCCGACGGCGGTGACATCGGAGGCGAGGTCGTTGCAGAGAAGTCAGCGAGGAAGAAGGTAGGTACTGTTAGGTGTT